GGCAGTGATCTAATGCAACGGATGCATCATAGTGTAAGAGCAATGATCCAATGCAACCGTTGTATCATAGTATAATGCAAGACACTTCTAGAAAACTATATTTATGGTATTTGTATATCCTCAAAATTTTCACACACACTCTCTTCATCTCAATAATCAATTACCCAAAAAAAAAAAGTTCAATTTGAAGCCTAGATATGGTCAAAATGAGTCCCTTCCAAAAACGAATCTACACCACTCATTTTGTGAATTTCAAGATCTTAGCCTTTTATAAACTCAAAATCATTTTTTTATTTTTTAACATTGTTCATCTAATGATAATAAAGCCATCCAAAAAAATTGAAAATGAAAAAATCCTTCTAAGGCGTAGATCGAAGCATCTTACCTAAATGAACGGCCTATATTAATTGGGCTAAAAAAATACTTTCTAGGTTGTGTTTTCGAATTTTTCTTTTTTTGTGATTGTTAATTAGAATGAAAATATTGTATATTTCAAATTTTGGATCAAACAAATGGTCATAAGATGGTTTTTTATGTTGTTGCATCATATTATTATACAACGGTTGCATGATATCATTACTCATAGTATAATTCAACCACAAGTCCAGAAAACCATGTTTGTGGTATTTTTATAACCCAAAATTTTGCACACAAACTCTGTTCCTCTTAATAATCCAACCAAAAAACAAAGAAAACAAAAACTAATTTGCACGCTATATATGGTCAAAGTGAGTCCCCTCCAACAATGAATCTAGACTATCCATTTGATGAATTTCAAGATCTAGGATTTTATGAATTCAAATTTTTTTTTTTTTTTAATATTGTTAATCTAATGATAATATAACTCTCTAAAAAATTTTGGAAAGAAAAATGATCATTCTAAGACCTAGATCTAAGCATCTCACCAAAATGCACGACCTATATTCATTGGGCTAAAAAAATACTTTCTAGGTTGTATTTTTAAATTTTTATTTTTATGTGATTGTTCATTACAATAAAAATATATATATATTTGTTAAATTTTGGATCAAACAAAATGGCCTGCACATGGTTTTTTAATGTTGTTGCATCATATTACTGTATACAACCGTTGCATGAAATCACTGCCCGATATATATATATATATATATATAAATCGAGTGATTTCATGCAACGGTTGTATCATAGGATGATGCAACCACACTTTATAGAAAACCATATTTGTAGTATTTTTATGACCCAAAATTTTGCACACACTCTGTGCATCTTAATAATCAATCTAAAAAAAAAAAAGTTCAATTTAAACGCCTAGATATCGTTACAAATCTAGAATTTCAAGATCTCAGCCTTTACAAAAAATCATTTTTTCTTTTTAATATAATAATAATAAAGCCATTTAAAAAAATTGGAAAAGAAAATATCCTTCTAAGGCTTAGATCTAAGCATCTTATGTAAATCAACATCCTATGTTAGTTGGGTTTAAATAAATACTTTCTAGGTCTCGTTTTTTTTTTTTTTCTTTCTCTTTTGGTGATTGTTCATTAGAGTAAAAATAGTGTATATTTTAAAATTTGAATCAAATAAATAGTCCTAACATAGTTTTTTAATGTTGTTGCATTATATTACTATGCAACCGTTACATGAAATCATTCCCCATATCTATATATATATATAAGAAATGCTAGCTAATGAGCCTACAACTACATGCAAGCACTACAGACTAAATTCAATCTCGGCTGATCTGACAAACACAACCTCATTTCATATTTTAATTTCATTTTTTTCTACAAGGAAAAGGGATATTTTAAATTAGAAAGAGATGAGATATTATAAAAGAGAGAGATTATCTCATGTGGAACATTTTTGACGGGGATGCAGTTTGTGTCCATGTTGAAAAAATCGGGCAATCTAATCGGTAACTGCCCGGTTGGATCGGAACCGGGCACCACCGGTTTCATGCGGTTTTAGTGATCGGGCGGTATTTTAAAAAAAATGTCTATAATATATCAAAAATAAGGAATCTGGTTTGTAATACATTTTTTAATATTCTTTACATTATAATAAAGATTAAAAATTATTTTGGTCATTAATACTCACTTTGGTATTTTCCCATCTTTTTCGAAAAATTTTAAACCCCCTAGGCACAAATCGACTCTTTAAAATCTATTTTTTTTCATTAATTTTCAACTTCATTTGAATGTATTTTGTTTTAATCATTCTTTATATGCTTCTCATAGTTTAATAGATATTTTTTTGTATCTTTTTTATTTTTTTCAATAATTTGGACCGTCCAAAATTTGTCTGGTTAGAATGGTTGAATTAGCAAGTTTACTGATTAGGCCGGTTAAGCTACTTCCGTACTCATGTCCGATTAACCACCTCAGTTCGATTTTGCTAACAATGGTTCACGTGGAAGAGGAAGAAAGTTAGAGATAGGTGGGAGAGAAAGTGAGATAGGGGAGAGAGAGGGAAAAAAAAGGAAAGTGAGTTTTGAAGGAAGAATTAAAAAAGATATATTTTGTGAGATCTTTTAGAAGCAAATAGATAGATTTGAGAGGTGAGAGAGAGATTTTAGAGATGAGAGGAACGACGAACCTTTTAGCGAAAAGATATTTTCGCAACATTCATAGCTACCCATAGAAGAGAGTATAAAGAGAGATAATAGGTGGCACAATAATAAATGGGATTCCCTTCTCACTTGTGGATCCATGGCCATCCACCCTAGGCATTACAACCCTTGTCACATTACATACGGGATTTCTTTATTTATTCATTTTTTTAACGTTAAAAACGGGATTTCTATCTTATAATAAATCTCAATGTAACAATTTTCTTGTTAATTTTTTTATTAGCTTTCAAAAGCCTGCACTAATTATGAGTTACAATAAATAGTTGATATTTTAAGTTTATTTTTACAAATAATAAATTATTAAGTTTTTAATCGTATTATGTTAATTTTTCTCTAAAAGTTAATCTCTCAAAGTTAATCAAATTTTTTTTTGAGCGATTATGTAGTCACATTTTTTAAATTTCTGACATCCATGTTTTGATTCCAACTCAAGACGACTTTTATAAAAAACACGCAAGGAAGGTATTACTATTCCTTCGTTTTCGATTCAAATAGCAAACATATGCGGTTTGGTTCCTTGTTTTATTTTAGGAAAATCAACGTGATTTCCCCAATATAGAAAATGCTCTGAAGTATACACTGATTATCGACAATTGAAAAATACATTGTATGAACTTGTTTGGAAAATTTTAAGTAGAAAGCTTTCTATATGCCATTAGGACTAGGGAATTTATACATGTCAGTCTTTCCTAGCCATCAGATCTTAATGAATAGCTGGGATACTTTTATCAAAATAATCATAAGGGTTGCAATATTTAACATTCTATCTTTGACAACCTATTTTTTTCAAGTAGATTAGGAGTTAGCTTTTTGAAGGCATTAGTGGGGTGATGTTAACGATGGGAATGAAATAATCATAATAGTTGCCCTTTTTTTCAAGTAGATTAGGAATTAGCTTTTTTAAGATATTAGTAGGGTGGTGTTAGCAGTGGGAATGAAATGGAAATGAAATAATCATAAGAGTTACCGTTTTTTTTCAATTAGATTAGGTGTTAGCTTTTTTAAGGTATTAATGGGGTGGTATTAGCAGTGGGAATGAAATAATCATAAGAGTTGCAATATTTAACATTCTATCTTTCGCAACCCCTTTTTTTCCAAGTAGATTAGGAGTTAGCTTTTTTCGTAATCCGTTTTTTCAAGTAGATTAGGA